CCAACCTTTGAATCTTTTCACCCAACACTTCCACTCGAAATGGAAGTAAGCTCAACAAACATGTTAACACTAAGTTTTCTTTGGGCAGCGTTTGGTTATATTATGCCTATTTGTCAGATGACTCTCAGTAATTTACCCTTAATACAATTTAATGTCCAATATTTTATTTTATCCCGCAATGCTATGAATAGTCTTCACGATGCCATTGAATGTCCTGTATTCCTTTTTCCTGAAAGGATTTCTTATTCACACTTTTCGGCATGGTAGAAACATACACATCCGATTGTAATGGCAAATAAAGATAGGATTTAAAGGAAGCCTGGCTTGCCTTGAAAGCCATAGCTTCTCTGTGACCCACTTGCATTAGTTGCTATTTCATTGTGTTGCTCCGGTTTCGAATCCGGTCCGGGGCGCTGATCAGATCGAGGCACGTTCAAACGTACACTCCAACCAGTATGAGAAGACCCAGAATTCATGGCTAAATGAATTTCACTGGCATTATGAGGATTGTACTATCAATCCTTAAATGACTCTTAAGTTGCTTGGCATTACAGAGTTCTTATTTGGTCCATACACTATTTTGATTTCGAGGCCTGAATAAGATCTGTCAGGAGAACAACGCTTAAAACTTCTTGAAAATGCATCTCTCACTCCCCGAAATACGAGGCCATTTAGTAAGTATATTTCCTCTGAAAGTTGTCATCACGACTTCAGCCCTCGTAGGCAAGCTACGCTTTACTTCTTTTTGTATACCACTGCCACTGCGGTGGGATGAGCGACAAGTCCCTGAGTTTGAAAATCACACTTTTGATTCACATCGATGTTTCTAATACTTTGGGATATGGAAACAGTTGACCAGAGACTGTAGGTTGTCTATTAAAGGCCCTCGAGAGAGACCTGGACTGAGAACCCTTAGGAAAGAGAGTACAGACAACAAAACTGAAAAAATCATACCTTCTGCTCATCCTTTCAGATTTGACTGTCATCTTTTCTAAGTTCCATTTCTCATTGTTACCCAAGTTTCGACGTTTTCGTCTGGCTATACTATACGATGGTTTTCTCAATTTTTTTGAACCAATTTAAGATGGAGTATTTATGAAATGCATCCGAATGTAGTCGTCAGGACCACAGCATAGAGCGAATTTTTAGCTCTGGCCTCGGGACACTTTTTCTATTGGCCCTTGGGATACCGAAATAGGCTATGCTAGCGTCTTTAGGGGAACTGCGATTGCTGATTGAATGATTGGCCAAGCAACATGACTATATCAGCCAACTGTATTTTGATTCTATTAGTCTGTAATTGAGGTTAGCTGAGGATTGGCGTCGCACTCTGTTTATCCCAAGATTTGCACGACTTAGTATTTCCTGATACCTGAAAACTGTAACACTAGCATTCTTGAGCTCCATTCTGTGGTGGGTAGAAGAGACAGTCCTACTGACGCAGTCTGATTTTTACAAGACTGAACAATGTCGAAAGTCGCTTTTTTTCTTTTCTCTTAGTTGCATATTGTCACTTTTCTCATTGCGAGGAGGATATGTCAAAGTTAACTTTTGTAAATCATAGTCAATCCGGCATCTTAAGTGCTAGTATTTGATTTTTTAAACCATCGTTTGATTAATGTGGGCTCTTTGGTGTCTTGAGTCCAAAGATTGGATCCGAATTCGAGAGAATATTTGATGTATCATATGCCTTGACGTATACATGACGTATTTGGAACGACCTACAAGTCAGACCTTCTTTTGAGTCATACTTATTAGTCCTGAACTTGCTTTCAAGTTCTTGTTGATTGAATCGTTTTTCCCATCCCATCCAAAGAAGAGGGTGATTAAAAATGGATACTCTCATAAATTGAATGGGGCATATTCGTCATAGCACAATTAATGTGCATGAGTGGTTACAATATTATATTTAAACTAGTTATTGAGATATTTAAGTAGAGTTTCGAGGCTACCAGTAAATCAGTAATATGAGATGTATTCACCCTGTTTCGTTTAATGTGATGAAGTATTTTTCCCACAATGATATGAGTAGAGCTGACGTTTCCATTCCATTTCACATAGCCCTGCTTTCCCAAAAGTTGGTTGGAAGGAGTTCATTATGTGGTCTCACCGGAAACTGAAGGAGGATTGCCGCGTAGGGAAGATTGTTGTATTATGCGAAGAAGTCTTCGGCTCCCCTTCCTGCAAAGCTCCGGTTCGTGAAGTAACTTCACTCATCTGCAAGCAGGTAGAGTAAGGTTGAGGTAAGCAACTATAACATGGGATACTTCAATAAGATCGTAAGGTTAGATGTACAAAAAAACGACTATGGTAGCAGCTGGCCACCTCTTCTTTTCGTGTAGAATATTTTTGCTCTTTTTCCTAAAGTATGGGTTCTTGCTCTGATGATGTCTGTCACAAAGGTACAGACGAAAGCTAGGCACAGGTTGATCGGAGTCGCCGAACGGTAAGCCGGGTACTTCTTTGCACGCGGCAAACCTTCTTCAGTTTCCAGCGTGACCACGTCATCAATTCCTCCCAACCAACTTTTCCTTCAAAATGGAAAGTCATATGACAATAGTCAAATAGTGCTATGGCAATAAGTTTAAATGCATATCTAGTCATTCTTCAGAAGGAGTCATTTCGAATCGAAAAATGAAGGTACAGCAACTGTCAGGAGTCGGGTGATAGTACCTGTTTTGCGCGTTGCTCTTATGCATGAAATTATCAAATGTTTCAATTGAAAGGGAGCTCATTTGTGATGAAGGCCATGCCGAACCTCATTGACAAGTATCGGTGCCAGGTAGCCAAGTGGGCCTCTAAAAACAGATGATTATTTTATGAATTTACGTCATAATGCGACCTCGAGGAGGTCGAGACGACTGTTCTGTGTAAGAATGAATAACTTCTTGGAAGCATTATTATGCGAAATCCAATGGAGACGTGAGGCCTACTTGTCTGGATGTGAAAATGTGAATGTATACGCAATAGGGTGAGCACATTTATTATTCAAGAGCTACCGAGAGTCTCGAAAGTCCATTTAAAAACGAAAATATATCTGCAGCTCATCTTCAGTCTGGATTGACACTTTTTTGCCTTTATTGCTGCCTACTTTAATGAGCTGCAGTCTATGCGCAATGGGCGATAAAAGTTCGCCAGCTCACATCCTTGAAATGGCACAACTTTTGATGCAGACTCGACTTGTGTGTTTCCCTAATCTTCCTTTCTCTGCCTCACAGTCGGACTCAGTAAAGCGCAATCGTTGCCAAGCAATAGGGCCAATATCATTAATACTTGCTATGCAGCTTTCCCAAATCCTACCACTCCGGTCACTTAGGCATGCATTCTTCGTGCTCCCTTTTCAGCGAATGGGCCAGGCCTGAGCGACAACCCCTCAGTCTGGACGAGGCGGCGGCTGCCGCTTCAGTGGTAGCAACGGCCTGTTCCGGTACCATGTCTTCGGGGGGTGGCGGGGGCGTCGGGCGCCACCAGGCGTCAAGTAGGACTGCTCTGGGTCAGGGACCCCCGCCCTCAGCCTGCCGGTTGGCGACTGCCCCCGGTGCGGCTGGCAATCCGCGCCGAAAGATGGCACGTGGCGTCGCTGCTGCCGGCAAATCGAACCCGGTCTCCACCACTTCGCCTGTCCTGTCGACACCTAGCAACAGTGGAAACGTCACGGCCAACAACAGCTACAAGACTTCGACTCCATCCGGCACACAAACACACTTCGCTTCGCCGCCCCAGAGCGCCGTGGCAGCCTCATCCTCCTCCTCTTTTTCTCCACCCACCAGCCCCAGCTATTCGCGCCAACAACAACTCTCCCAGCAACAACATCCTCGCTCTGCAAATCATCAATATCAAAAGTACCTTCACCATCATCACCATCATCATCATCATCATCATCACTCACTTCAGCAGCAGTCGCAGCAGCCAAAGCAACAACAACAGTACAGCCTGAGACCGGCCAGCTCTGCACTGCAGACGCCCGGAAAACAGGCGCTCGGAAGACCGGTCCCGGTTGCCCGCGCCGGGCTTCAGAAGCAGCCGCATTTCGTCTCTCCTGGCAACCAGCGCAAGCCGCATACTCGAGTTCACTTCAGCGACGGGGAATTGGACGACTGGAGAGGCAATGATGAGGGCTCTGGCTCCGAAGATTCTTATAATTATGTAATTTTGCCCTCACTTCTTACATGCGATGCGTACATGCGAATTTTATAGAAATTACGATACAAGCAATTAATCGTGGATACCATCTAATGGCTTGGAACTAATTGAAATCGGGCATCGTCCTTGTTGTAGCCGATACTAACACCTCTCATATGACGCCTGTCGGAGTCTTGCAGTGAGTGGATGTCTTTAGCAATTGGCCCATTCGCGTAGAAAAATGTATTTCAAGCTCGCTGATTCTGTGAAATATGGTTTCAATCAAGCGGCCTGAAAACTTTGCGGCAAAAAGGACTACTTTAAAGTCAGATTTTTTGCATGGCATCGTCGTTCATCGCCTTAGAGGGGCGATGAAAGTAAAGGAATGCTCTTTAGGTTGATTGAGTTTACTTCCACTTCCAGTGGAAGTTTTTGATGAATAGAATTCAACGTCGATCCCACCAAAAGACGACAGCGAATTCCTCTTGACCAGATGTCGCTTGGCTTTTCTGGAGCATTCTTGTTGACGCTGTTTCCGAGGCAATCTCCTTCGATTTCGGCGCAAACATGCGAAGCTTTTATCCATCATGTGACAGACAATATGAGAGCATGGTATCATTGCCATTCCAACAATATTCAGGATAATGAGTTTTCTTGATTCGTTAGCGGAAATATGGTTGTAAGGATGATATCATCTGCTCTGATGATGTACTTAATACGACGGGCGAAGGTTTAACACATTTTCATTAAAATCGAATAATATCGTCCCGAAAACAGCGTCAACATGAATGTTTTAGTAAATGTTTCGCTTAGAAGTAGGTTTTTCGAGACTACCTTGAAAGCAATCCACTGAATACACATCGTATTTAGATTATCTATTGGTAGTCTTAAAAATCTAATTATAAACTAAACATACGAAACGTAGTAAATTACTATAACAAATGGAAATTCGCCCAATCGACAATTACACCGTAGAATATGATAGGGAAAAATGGCTAGACTTGCTTGAAATTCACGTCTGCCCTGTGACCCCAGGGCACTTGTGGAAGTGTGGCGTAGTGGTTACCGTGTCGAGATTATTTGTTGCACTTTCATGGTTCGAGGTACTCATGAGGTGTTGATAAGTTCTATGCAAGGTGGATATTGCAATCCACTATGGATGAAAATACCTTTGAAGAACGCAAGGCCATGTGATCCAACTAACAGTCCCCTTTTCGCCTTAAACGAACTATGGTGAATACACTTCATAGATGAATGTTCTAGTGAATTGTTGAGCTTACTTCCATTTCGAGTGAAAGTGTTGGGTGAAGAGATTGGAACGTCGGTTCGAAAGAAGACAACGGCGGATTCCTCTTGACCAGCTGTCGATTGGCTTTACTGGAACATTCATGCTGACGAAGTGTTTCCAAAGCAATCTCATTCGATTACAGTTAAAAGGTGCTAAGCTTTCGTCTGTCATATGACGGACATCATCAGAGAGAGGTAACGTCGTCCCAACAAAATTCAATCTAACAAGTCAAGAAAACTCACCGGCAGATCCCTAAAAAGTGGTATATATACTCTCGTTAGCTTGTATTCTGTTGTGACGATGATACCTCGCTTTAATGATGTTCGTCATATGACAACTTCGATGCATGTGAGTGTGTCTGTCCCTGTATTTGTATGTGCCTGTTTGTGTTCGCTTATGCACGAAAGCTTAGCACCTTTTCACCGAAATTGAAGGAGATTGCCTCGAAAACAGCGTCATCATGAATCTTCCAGTAAAGCCACTCGACAGCTGGTAAAGAGGAATTCGCCGTCGTCTTCTGGTGGAACCGACCTTCGAATCTCTTCACTCAACACTTTCACTCAAAATGGAAGTAAGCTCAACATTTATGGAACAAGAGATTCCTCGAAACCGTACTTTTATTGTAGATACGAAGAGAAACTTGGTTTCGATGAATCTCCTGAGATAACATTGTTAGGGGGAACTTC